GTACATATTTTAATAGAAACCTTGCTAGCGATCTACAATGCCTCCAACATCATCAAAAAGGAAATAGGAATGGGGTCAGTAGGAGACAGAGGCCAAGCGTTAGACATGGTCAATGTAACGTTGCAGTTCCAATTATTTCAATTAATATACAACCAGACCTTGTATAGTTTATTTTATAAGAATATTTAAGCTTTTCGTTAAAAGATAATGAATTTTCCTATAAATACTTTTCAAGTGGGAGATGAAGATGCGTTAGCTAAAACTTTCTAGATGTATGCAAAATCTATACATATAATAAAATTGTAACTAAGCCGAATCTGTACATTAAATATTTTTTGGAAAATCTTATTAAAATAGACATTATTATCGATACAGAGGCCGAATCTATAGTTTTTAGATTTTTTGTCTGTCTGTCTGTTACCACATCACGGGAAAACCACTAGAGGGATTTTGATGAAATTTGGTATGATGGTAGCTGGTTATCCGGGTCAACATATAGGATATTTTTTACCGCGGGAAAATGTCTCATTTCTGAGAAAAAATACAAAAACTGCAATACAAGAGTATACTAATATGTAAAACCTAAGAATTTGGTTTTCGGTCATCTGAACGCGGGCGGAGCCGCGGGCAATGCTAGTTAAGTATATGTATGTAAATAAAAGTATGAATTTGACGAGACCACATAAATATTTTTATGTCAAACAAACGAACATTTATACATAATATAGGTACATTTAGAATGAAATGAATTCTAATATAATAATATTCATACTAGAATAAATTTCATTCTTAAATTACATCCGCTGCCACGCATCATTAATTAAAAGCAATATTTTCTTATGATTATTTTTTATATGTTATATAGGTATTTCGATCCTTATTTAATTGATATTGGCTATTTTTTTGCTGATAGTAGTCGGATGCGGTAGTATAATATTACTGTATGCAGTTAAACCTATTAAAAATACATCATTTTACTCATATAAAATCATCGTTTCGCTAAGGGCTTCACTACACTGTGATTTTATGCGATATTACGAGTATATAAGTTCTCGTAAGATATATTGCAAAATAACGGGAACAAATAATGAAGTCGTTTTATGAAAGAGCTATCAAACGTAAAGTGCAATTATGCGCATTAGCGTTAGTACTATACCAACTAGTAACATGAGAGTTGGGTGATGTAAATACGTTTGTACCTTCTATCTAATATTGTTTATTCCATTCAATATTTCGCTGAAGAGTTTACGAATGCATATAAAATCTAAATAGCACGATATCCTTTTATAACAATAGTTTTGGTGCCGAAGAGAAATTTGGTCAAACGTCAATCTTAAACATATGGTGGAGTTTTGAAAGTAGCCTATATTTAAACCTTATAAATACGTCCAGCGTAAAGGCCATGCCTTATAAGGTGTGGTTTGGTGTGGTAACTGAACCGAGCCTTATATGACTCATCGTCTTGTTGAATTAGTATAAAATAAATTCTCTTACACTAATTGAACATCTGTTCCTATTTTTTCACGTTTATTACATCACGTTTCTGAATCTAGTCGTATTTTGCTACTTAAATCATGTTTTATTCAAATTTTTTGCTACATATATTTTTTAACTGATTTTTATGATAACTCAGCAAGGTTTTTTGTCAATCTTGATTTACATTGAAAAAAACATTACATTTTTTATATCGCAATTCAATTCATATTGTACCTATCTACCAAATACTAAATTTTTGATATAGGTATTTAATATTTATAAAAATATATGTATAAAAAATCGTTTTTTCCATGATCCAAATTAGAGCAGTTTTTGAACAACTTCAGAAGAATAGCTAAATGAATATTATAAGATAAAATCTTAACAAGTGAATCTAGCTAGTAGTTACTACTAACGAGGTATATACTTATCATATAAATTATAAGAAAAAACTAAGTTTTCCAACAATACCTAAATAAATTATAATTCGCCGAATTACCATAAGAAAGGCCGCTATGGAATTTTCCATTAACACAATTCCTTTGGAAGAGAAGATTTATAATTCCATTAAACACTGTGCTTGCATTGCCATCGATGCACGGGTCTTATTTGGTTATGAAACCGGTCAAAATTATTGAACGATTCTCCTTGACCCACATGACTTTCTGTCGCAGGAAGAGATTCACTACTAAACGTTTTTTTACTGATCATAATGTATATTTTCCAATTTATTTTAAAATTATGTAGGTACAGACAAGAACAATTGTAAGATAATGTCGCTAATAAAAGGTTATCAATTTTACACTATAGTCGAATATTAATTATATTATTGAAGTCAATGACCGTATTCGGCAGTGTATGGCGTCTGCATAATTTACACGTTACGTTAAACAAGCTTGACCGACACTTTATGCCATTTACCATTTTATTCCTTTTCTCAGTTTTAAAGTTTTTATTTTGTTGATTTTTCAAGGTAAGTAAAAATTTATATCTTTATTATCTCACAAAAACAGCAATATGTATATTATTAAGAGAAATATCGAATGTTTTTGAATTTAATAAAATATATTAATATCAGACCAAATGGAGATCATAAATCTATACATATAATAAAATTGTAACCAAGCCGAATCTGTACATTCAATATTTTTTGGAAAATCTTATTGAAATAGACATTATTATCGATACAGAGTCCGAATCTATAGTTTTTAGAATTTTTGTTTGTCTGTCTGTCTGTCTGTTACCGCATCACGAGAAAACCATTGGATAGATTTTGATGAAATTTGGTATGATGATAGCTGGTTATCCGGGTCAACATATAGGATACTTTTTACCGCGGGAAAATATCTCATTTCTGAGAAAAAATACAAAAACTGCAATGTAAGAGTATACTAATATGTAAAACCTAAGAATTTGGTTTTTGGTCATCTGAACGCGGGCGGAGCCGCGGGCAATGCTAGTATTAATATAAATAAATAAAATTACTTTGTTCTTAATTAATTTCCAGAAGGATGATAGTAAATAGGTAATGCGTGCGTTATCAATTAACAAAAACATAAACTATCGGGCGTATGCATAGAAATTGCGTAACACTGGTTTAGTTTGAACAATAGAAACAAATATTTCTCAATGAGTGATGTGATAAATTCTAAAAATATTATTTGGAATAAAATATATGGATAATTTGTATACATATTGTGTTTTGTAACGGTGCAGTGTGATATTTGTCAAATTGTAACTGTCTTTTGCATCGTAGCAGGTTTTAGCGAAACTTTTTATGATTCCGTATCCCAAGACTCGTATGTGATGCTGTACTTAGGTTAAGATACGATGGGACTGACATGTTCGAAAAGGATATATTCTATTACTATTTACTTATTACACTGTTAAATTTTCAGAATTAATTTCCGGTGATTCCGGCGATGAGCGATTTTAAGCCTTTTTTTTAAATAGCTGATGCGATTGCTAGCCGCAAGTGGTGGGTTTACACTATATTATAATATACCATAATTTAATATAGATTTTTTTAGTGTAGAATATTTCGTTGCTAAAACAATAATATAAGTAGTTTTATAGTTTGTCTTTTACCTTGCCTAAGGCATAAAACATGAATGTAAATAAAGCTTGCTTCTTTAAAATGCAAAACCTCGACTAGGTGGACATGTCACAATGGAATTTTCTTGGCAAGAACAAAAACACTACATGTGTATTGTGCATAAAAGTAAAATTAGAAATGAGAGAATCTTACATTTTAATAAGGCTTTGTATATTTAAAAATGACTAAACTAAAAACTTAACCTAGTCTTAGAGGGTAATTTCAGCCGTTCGTTATAGAATGAAATGAAACGGGGAATTTTTAATTATTTTATATAGCTTTGTATTGCAGGTACCTTAATAAAATTTGTGGTAATTCTATTACACATTATATTGTTAGTCACGTTTGCTTCTTACATCATGTTTTATTATAGTTTGTTTGTTGAATCTATTAATGTTTCCTATCAAATACAATAAAAGACGGAAGAATTAAGTATTATTAAAATTTTTAATCATATTAATTTTTCGTGTAACTCAATAATATTTCAAGTATCAAAGTACGAGTGGATGGAAAGTCTAGCCCGATTTCACCAACGTCACCTAAGTTTAAGGGATCCTCTAAGCATGGTTAGAGGGCTGTTAGGGGACAGTTTCTGTTTCACCGACAGTTAGGGGTCACCTAAATGTTAAAAGGCCCCCAAAATTTAGGTGCTCGAAATATGGCTTAAAGACGAAGGTAAAACGAAATTTAATTTAGTAGCTAGTTTAGGGGAATTCTAAGCTAGGGATCCCATACGTAGGTGGTAGCTTATGGGTTGTTGGTGAAATCGGGCAAAAAGTTTCAGTTATTTATCTACATGACCTATATCAAGGCTTTAAATATTTTAATTAATCTCTAATTAGTAATAAATGATGACGAATACATTTAAGCGGCATAATATTTATCACAATTTAGTTAATTAAAGTAATCAACGCCCGTCATGTTGAAATACGTTTTCAAATTATATTTATAACATACTTTAACGTTTGATGCCAGGTATCCTGGTCACATGTACCCATACCTAGGTACTTGAATTTTTTATGTGAACAAACTCCAAACCTGTTTTCGGCCGTTTAGGATACCTCGTGTTATATGTGAGTGTAACCCAACGGACCGATGGATCTCTTGTTTGTGTGGGTAGAAAAATTTCTTGTTAATAAAATAGTAATAAAACTTGATAAAAGTACCTAAAATAAGATTTTTATAATATCTAAGAGATTGGTTGTTTATTTAAAATCGTGTTGAAAAACTTTGTACGTAGATTCCAATTGGAACGTTACGTGGAGTTAATTTATGCTCACAACCCCTATCAATATCTTGAAAGTAGGTCACGGCCGAGTCCTCGTATCTGGACCACCCAGCATCCCAATCAATAGCTCTGACGTCGCAAAAACATGGGAGATAAACTATTAGAAATTACTAGAAATATTTAATCTGACTTTTGACTTACCTTTCTCTGAGCTTCGGCGGCAAATCCAGATTTCGTGGCCCTGTTGTTGGCCATTTTGTAACTAAAACTATTTGTACAATAAATAAATTAAATCACAGACACGGGTTGTCGCCGTGAAGTCACCGCGTACAGAGAATATAGTAAAGTATAGTTAGGCGATGTAATGTAAACAGCCGCGCAACCGACCTGTTCAATGTGTGTGTGTGCTATGAATGACATCATGCAGCGCAGCCGGCCGGTGCACGACTCGGGGTAGTGTTGTGCTAAGCGGCCATCTTATCGATAATTGTTTTTTCATAGCTTTTTTGATCGATGGCCTCAATGCTCTTGTTTGTAATTTCGGAAATCAATTTTGCTTTTGTATTGTATTTAGCCTTTTTTAACGTCCCTATGCTGGGCGCGGGCCTCCCTTCAATACGAGGGGGATCAGGCCATAGTCCACCAAGGTGGCGAAGTGCGGGTTAGCGGACTTCGCATGTAGCGAAAACTTGCTAGGTTCTCTCAGATATGCAGGTTTCCTAATGATGTTTTCCTTCACCGAAAAGCAAGTGGTAATCATGTTAGAAATGATTTGCACATGAAAATATTAGAGGTGCGAGAGATTTGAATCCACTTCACTCGGTTGTCTAAGCGAGTGCATTACCACTAGGCTACCACTGCTTTTATATTAAGATAATACTAATGTCCGATTCGGCCCCGGCGGCCAATCTCACTGAAACTAGCCATCTACGCAGGAGATAATATAGTGCACAAGTGTACGCGCAGGCACAAGTGCACTCTCTATTCCTGTTTCTCTCATGCTCTGGTGGAACTACTCGACACGACCAGTGAGAGTTTAGGCGCATGTCCTTGGCGCATGGCGATGGCTTTACTTACTCTCCGAGGCACGGGGGTGAAATGCAGTAAGTACAACTTCCCAACTCCGGACTGTTACTGAGAATTTCTTGACAGAAATACTCAATAGTTGAATTTGGCGCGACTTAGAACTCGAACCCAGGACCTACGGATCTGCGGCCGAACATGTTAGCCACTAGACCAGCGAAGTAGAAAGACAGGCATAATTGAGATAATAATTAATTTTTAAGGTTTTTAAATAAATAAAATAAAAGAATATTAAAATATGATAATTTAACAACTTCTCATTAAGAGCTTAAATAATAACCCTGGGTTAATTAAAGATGAGTAGTTAGTGCTATTACTAATATTGATTTTTAGTAAGTTTGATAATAAAGTCATCATAAGTGGAAAATTAAAAATAAATGTTCAATTTTGAAAAAGAATAGTATTTATTTATATATGTAAAATATTTAAATAAAATAAAGACGAATGAAAATAATAGATTCAGAAACTACTTAATAAGATTACTTAATTATAAATAAACATCGACATCCAAACCTCACTATATGTTCGAAATGTAAAATGAAAACCAAGTATGGAATACAATGAGAGCAAAAGGGATAGGCTCAATAATTACGCCTCTCGTTCTAACGTCTCGACGAAATGGCGGCGAGCCGAAACTTATAAGTATTGAGATTTGAGATAGCTTAATGTTATTTATTACTTATTATGTAATATTTTATAATAATAATTAACTACTATTAACTGAATTTCAATTAAAAATACTTATATGAAATTAATCTTTTATTTAATATTAAATAATCGTGCATTAAATTATAATTTTTTTTTAAAGATAATAATATCATAATTATTATTATTTATTATCTTTGTACAAAATACTTAATAGTAGATTTTTAATTAATTGATTTTTTTAACTTACCCGCCATCTATGTAAACGCTTAAAAACTATTTGGTAAGAGACTGAGGCTTTAGTGGCATATGAAGGCTCTGTTTATGTGTCATGAGGTGTTTAAGAATAGCTGAAGATGGCTGTCTAATAAAAATGTTAAAAACAAGAATATTTAAGAATATAATATACTTGTATGTCTTTTGCGAATAAAAAATTTAATAAAGTCAATGCTTAAATAATTATACTACAAAATATGTGTATTCTTTAAAATTACTTTTCACTCAGTGGATATGCGACTTAAAAATTACTTAAAATTATTATATACATATAATAAGGTGGTTTTTATGCAATTTATATGGGATCACCTTTGAAGTACGAGTATATAACCTATTCTTTAAACAGGAAAAAATATCGAAGAAAAAATATTGCTTTACAATTACTTTTTCCTTTTTGAAGTCGGTTAAAAATAATGATACAAAGAACTTTACAGACGTAGATCTACAGTTAAGACGTAATCGTATATCTGTGTACATAATGACGTAGGATACATTAATGCTTCTTTTATCTCCAATGAAACTGAATATATTTTTTTTAGTTAAGAATGATTTGAAAAACAAGTTTTATGAATTTTATTACAGTATGAAAATGTTCGATGCCAAATTTTCTTCCAAAAACCTTAATATACTGTCTGTCGCCTTTAGCTCTACCACAAATTGAGTAGCTGACTCTCACAGCTCCAATATACTCGTACATATGCACCACGAAAATTCGTACCTATATGCTATCTTTAATCTTTCCTACTATAAAGTAAGGTTCACATGACTACAATTATTTCCCCGGACCATGCTCAACATTTTCTTAATAAAGTACTATCAACCAATAAACATAAGTACATATGTTTACAAATCATATAAAACCTATTTAGTTAAGAATGCGAATTAATATACATATATGACATTAATCATCTCAAAATGAAGCAGAAAATCATGACAATCATGTAAATTTTTTTGCTATGTATAATTTCAGCTAGAATAAAAAAATGAATAAATAATATTGAACGAAATGTTTCATAATAATAATATATAAAAATTATAAAAAAATATTTAAGGAAGCTGCATAAAGAAAGAGTTAACTTTAGTTAAAAAGAAAATGGATTATCATGGTCGAAGAAATCGTAGGGGCAGACCAAGATCGCGTCCAATGCAACTGCCTTTTGAACAACGTCCTCAAAAATGTTCTACACTAAATAATATCTGTAGCTTCCTTATATTAACCAGTTTGATCGCCATTGTATATTTGATGTTGAAGTACCACTGTGATATATGCAATAAGAAATGTGACTTTTACAATATTACTAGAACTATTGACGATATGGCGGTATTTTTGTTTAATTATAATATAGTGTTCTTATATGGATTAATGCAATAAATTAATATTCCAAAGCAATCATCTGATGTTCCGGGATAATGTAAATAATAAATAAAGTACATGAGATAGATAGTATGGTATAGTACCTACTAGATAAACATGGTATACCAAGTGTTATCTAAATCTGCTTAACGGCTTTCACATGATTGAGTAAAAAACATCCAATAAAATTCACAAAATTTTACGGCTACGATATAGGTTTTTTGTTTCAATAAATCTATCTAAAGAATAATACATCATTTCCCTATTCGTATGTATGTATTGTATTCAGCCCTTTTTAACGTCCCACTGCTGAGCACGGGCCTCCCTTTAGTACGAGGGGGATCAGGCCATAGTCTACCACGCTGGCCAAGTGCGGGTTGGCGGACTTCACATGTCTTTCGAAAAGTTGCTAAGTTCTTTCAGACATGCAGGTTTCCTCACGATGTTTTTCTTCACCGTAAGGCAAGTGGTAATCATGTTAGAAATGATTCGCATATGAAAATATCAGAGGTGCAAGACCCGGGATTTGAACCCGCTTCACTCGGTTTCCCAAGCGAGCGCGCTACCACTGGGCTACCACTGCCACATTTCCCTATTAATTAAAATTAATTAAAAGTTCTCTCTGATTCCATAAATATAGTATCCCAATACATATCCAGTACCTATTCAAATACGTTCATTTTAATATCACTAAGCTTTTTTATATTTCAGCATAACATGTCAAATATGAAAATTTCTTACCATGACCTAGAAAGAAAGGTATTAAAATTTTCTCAAGATTTGCCTAAAATCGAAGGACAGGTACAAATTTTGGAAGCATTGGCCCATACTATGGAAAGAGGTGATTTCATATGGGATCCGAAAACCCACTTGGCTCTACCTAATGTAGATGTATTTATAAAAACAGAAGTATTTAAAGAATCTAATGTTGGAAATATTATTAGGAATATTTCGAAATTCATGCCCGTTGATAACAAATGACTAGAAACGAATAATAAACTTATACACATTAGAAATTCTTGTTCTGGCACTTTTTAACTCTTTAAATTATATATATGTTACGAGTATAAAGAATAACTTCACATATTAAAGAAGATATACCGGAGGTAGCCTTTTATTTTACTTTGCACGAGTATTCTACATAATAACTAGCGACTCACCTTCGCTCCTCTCGGGTTCGTCCCTACGTTTTGAAGTTAGTATATATTTCTCAGAGATATTTTCCCGCAGTAAAAAGTGTCCTATATGTTGACCCGGATAACCAGCTATCATCATATCAAATTTTATCAAAGTCTGTCCAGTGGTTTTCTCGTGATGCGTTCCCTCCCACACACACACACACACACACACACATACATACAGCAGACAGAAAGACAAAAACTATAGATTCGGCCTCTGTATCGATAATAATGGCTATTTCAATAAGATTTTCCAAAAAATATCTAATGTACAGATTCGGCATAGTTACAATTTTATTATATGTATAGATAGATTAAAAAACATTCTGTTCGGTTCGATTGTTCCATATGTAATATTATACGCACTTTGGACAATAAATCTTCCATTAATCTCTTACTGATAAAACTAATTAAAAAAATTAAGAATGTCCGCATTAGCATTAGAAGCTCGATTATGACCAATTGTACATCTTTATAGGGATTTATAAAAGACTAGAGGTTCACCCACGCTTCGCTCGGGTTCGCTTCTAGAAAAACAATAATAATAACTCAAGGGGACCGAGATAAAAAGTAACCTATGTGCTGTTCCAAACTATAATCTTGCTCTGTGACAAATTTCATCCAGACCTGTTCAGCCGTTCTGGCGAGATTGAATAACAAACATTAGTTAACGGAAACTATTATTGGTTATGTATTATCAATTGTTTGTTATTCTATGTTTATCTTGTAACACCGTTTGTTTCCTTAATAAATAAAAAAATTCAAACATCTAAACTTTCACATTTATAATATTAGTAAGATGAGGACGATAATTATTATATTTATTAATGTTTTATAAAAAATCTATACATAATTATAACCACATGTTTTTTAATTTTGACGACATTTATGGGTTTCTTTTAATTTGCAACTGTATCTAGATTCACAATATTTGGGAAATTCATGGTTAGTAGTATAGAGCTCGCATCCGACAGCGGTGGTTTTAGTTGGATATCTTGCAAGAGTAGTTTTGTTTCTAGCTTCACCATTTCTTCTTGTTTCATTTTTATTATCTCTGGACATTTCTTCTTTGAGAGCAGAATAAATATGTCTGTCGTTAATTTCATTCCTAAGTTCATCATGTAATGTTTTAGCTGTATTTTTGTTCTGATCTTTATAGGAAAATTTCGTATCATGTCGAGGTGAAGGGTGTTTTGGTCTTTTATTTTCAGCTAAATCTATCAACTCATTGTGTAAATTATCGTATGCATTTCCTATGTTATTGACTGTAACCTGTAATTCAATAATAATAATAAATAAAACTTTTTATCATACAAACATTCTTTATTTTGTAAACGCTGTGGTTTTGGTACATTTTATGTTGAAATATATATGTTGACTTTACTTGCATACCTTTAAGATTTCCAAGTTATTTTTCACACTACAAAGCTCTTTGTGCATGACGTATCTTTCCCAAAAATTTGTACTCAAATGACTGACGAGAGCAACGACTGTGAAACACAATACTATTTCGATAAGCAAATTTTTCAAAGATTTGTGACTGGGCATGTTCAGTTTTTTTATTTAAATGAGGTGACCCTTGAAGTCATTATGTTATGTAACTTCGTGTTTTTTTTGGAATTACAGATGACAAGAATTTGACATTTTTGAGTATTCTTTATGTTTTTTATAAATAATGCAAAGAAGGTTGGTCGTCAAATAATATAAATTAGAATTATTGTTGTTCAATGAAATAGATTAATTATTTATTAATAAAGAAGTCGTATTCCAATTAATAAAAATGGCGTCTGGCCGCACATTCGTCTGTCTCTGTCGCACCTTTTTTAGTTTACTACTTTCATTTATATAAGAATAAAATAAAAATCAATATATTCTTGATCCTGGCTTGTAGAGATTTATGTGGGCTAATAAGGTACTATGTTGTTAATCCTTTTCGATAGTCGAATGAATCGGTTTAAACGATCGACATGATTGCGATTTACTGAAAAAAAAAATAGAATTTCTTACCAATAGGAATCGATTAATTTTATGTTTTTGACACCATATTCCTATCGAATTGGCGGCGTCAAGTCACACAAACAGGTACCAATTAAAAAGACAACCCATCAAATTAAAATGGACATTAATAATATTTAGTCTCTGGCACGCTTTGGAACCATTCACAAGAGAATTGAATTGAATATTTAGTCAACTCATTATAATTCAAAGTATTATATATATTGAAAAACACAGTTTCGTTACCTTTCTGTATTTTCTTCTCCACTTGGACGGGCTTAAAGTGTGTGTCAAGTAAGGAACCCTCGACTGGTGCATATCGATATATCATGCAGTTCTAGAAAATGACTATAATTATCATGAACACGATGATTTATGAAAAAAGTATGCCAATAAAGGTCGTGCCGTGAAATTTTAAAAGAAACTAGCGATTCACCCTTGCTTCGCTCGGGTTCGTGCCTAGCTTGCTTTCCAATACAAACTTTCAACCACATTTTCACCCCTTTAAGGGATGATGTCCGGGATAAAAAGTTCCCAGGATCTCAAACTATCTTCTTACCAAATTTCATCTGAATCGATTCAGTAGATCCAGAGGTTACCCCCTACAACTTCACAAACTCACAAACTCCCAAACTTTACCTCTTTATAATATTAGTATAGATATCTTTCTACGTTATAATTAATTTGTAGAGGACCCTTTTTATTTAAATAAGTACTCAAAGAATTTCTGTAAAATAATTTTCAAATTAAATAATGTTTTAGTTAAAAGATATTTTTATTTGAAATATAACGATATAATAATTTAATTTCATTTTCCGTTAAATAAACGATTAATAAATTATTTTGTACTTTTAAAATTTTATGATAGTCTTATAAATATATTAATATAAATTTAATATATGTAGGTATGTATATAAGGTACTCATTGTAGTAATATATATATACATAATGCATAATATTGTTCAATAACACGGCACGGTGAAAATACGTTAAAAACTAAACTGTTTCTGTCGTGTCATCGCAAATCGAATGAAGACAGCAAACCTCCTTAGCAGCGGTTAAACATGCTACTTCAGCTCGACTTACTTCTTCCTGTAAATATACAGTTATGAGTAGACTTAGAAGTGTGAGGGCTCTGGAGGTATAAAGGAGTGGATGTTAATAATAATTCAAACAAATAAGTTTAACATCTGGAAATTCCGGGGCCCTCTTATTGAGGGCCTGAAGATGCAACACTGGTTGCCTTCCCCGGCTCCGAGTTTAGCTCAGTAGTTATAATAATATTTTATTTAACTATTTATTGTACTTAATAGCTATATTTTTCAAAAAATTAAAAGTATCTCAAAAACAAAGGCTCAGAAGTTTCCGTATCATATTATGTAATTATTATACTTATTTGCATTACCAGTAAAAGGCCATTAAAAGAACAGTGGTTGAAGCCTTGAGCATGAGTTGAAATCTGGCTAGTGCTTAATACATAGATACTATTGTGTTAAAAGTATCTATGTATTAAGCACTAGCCAGATTCTAGGTTAATTTCTAAGAAATTAATTAAAATTCTAAGAAATCTATTGTTAACTGACACGCCGGCGCGGCGTGTCCGCGGTCATGGAGGGATTAAACTCTAGAACAGTAGAAATCCTAAGTTTGAATTATTGGAATCCTAAAATGCGCTAAAATATACATATACGAGATAAAATATACCATGAAATTTGTCGAACGTTTTTCTTCACAGCGTACTTTAACATTGTCAAAATAAATTGCAGGCTCAAAGCTTACTAAATAGTAAAAAATTTTATACAAATTCCACATACATGTTCAAGCGACTTTGCAGAGCTTACATAATATTAACAAAACAAATACAGTTATATTTTGTTTATGCAATTACTGCTAAAAAGAGTCGGGAATCCAAATACGGGCTTAAAATAAAGTTTGGTCAACAGTTTGATGCAGTTTGTAACAAATATTTGAACTTTCTGTAAAAATTCGAACTATTTTAACTATACACTCGGTTACGAGTATGTGCATGAATGCGTCTCTAGTACCATATTTTTTTTCAACCGACTTCAAAAAGGAGGAGGTTCTCAATTCGACTGTATTTTTTTTTTTTTTTTTTTTTATGTTTGTTACCTCAGAACTCCGTCATTTATTAACCGATTTGGACAATTTTTGTGTCGTTTGAAAGAGTATACTTCCAGATTGGTCCCATTTAAATTTCAAAAAAAAATACCACCCCTAAGGGTGGAAAAATAGCTAATGATGAATTTAACCTACTTCTAATTGTCATATTGACTTGAAACTTTGCAAGTGTTTCTATTTCCGTTGATAGTACAGTGGTTCGGTATTGTTGACCTGATCTGATAGTAAGGCCAGAAGGTGGATAGGTGGAACTCTTCAACGGCTAATAGTAGATACTTTGAGTTTGGGTTTGTTTTGTTTGATTTGACAAGCCTAATACGTTAGAATTCTTACTTTGCTACTACTGTCTACACTAAAAAGGGAAAAATAAAAACTTTTTAACAAAAAAATAAAAACCGACTTCAAACAAAAGCACTAAAAAGTAAAAAATAACTGATTGGTAGTTTTCATTTACTATACATACCTAATCAAATATTTTCGAAGTCGGTGTGCTTTGACTAAGTAATTAAAGTCTACCTATTAAATACATACCTAATCAAATATTTTCGAAATCGGTGCCAGCCCATATAAAGCAAAGCACACCGACTTCGAAAATATTTGATTAGGTATGTATAGTAAATGAAAACTACCAATCAGTTATTTTTTACTTTTTAGTGCTTTTGTTTGAAGTCGGTTTTTATTTTTTTGTTAAAAAGTTTTTATTTATTTCTAAAAATATCTTTGCAGAATTGGCATAGATAGTCTAGTAACACAACTTTCTTAATTAAATATCTTTTCGATTTTAATATTATCTATGCTAATACATATTATAAAGAGGTAAGTTTGTGAGTTTGTGATATTGTGAGTTTGTGACGTTGTAGGGGGTAATCTCTGGATCTACTAAACCGATTTGGATGAAATTTGGTAAGAAGATAGTTTGATACCCTGGAAATGACATACATAGGATACTTTTTATTCCGAAAAATCATCCCTTAAAGGGGTGAAAAAGGTGATGGAAGTTTGTATCAAGCTAGGAACGAACCCGAGCGAAGCGAGGGTGAGCCGCTAGTATCCTTATAATATTGATTTCTTACATTCTTACATATCTACATAATAGGTACATATCTATCTATATGGAAACAATACATGTTGTATGACGATATTTCAATATTCGTAGCGAATTGTTTTAACTAGGATTTAACTTGGCTTTATATTTATCCGTATGCTCACCAAAAGGAAAGCCGTCAAGTAGGTACGTGTAAATCAATAGTCTGTTAAAATATCTTATAATTTTAAATGAGCAATTCTTGTGTAGGTATATAAATTTATTTCGTATATCTAAGAAATGGCTGTAACGATTTGGATCAAAATTTGTATTTAGGTGTCTTTTTGAAAAAAAAAACTAATTTTTATATCTTTTCCGAAAATCGCCAAACGAAGATCGGTCGCGCAGGTACTAATGATTTATTAAGTAAGTATATTATATGGTCGAATAATAAGAAAAATCGTATACTTTATAAAACTTATACTACCTACCGTCATTTGATTTAGCACATTCTTTATATCTTTTAGGTCCTTGTGATGTACTCTCTGCGGCAGAACCAATCCCAAGAGGGCCACGAACACAATAGATACAATGGCGACGTAATTGCCAGCAACAGGGGAATAAATCATTCGTAGAAATTTTGCGAATACGCTAGTCAATTTTTGAAATTCAAAGCGGTTTGTTCCGTTGACTTTTGTATGTTGGTGAGGGTGGGTGTATACACCTGAAATTTTTTGATAAAAGCAATTTATATTTTAAGTATACGTCGAATACTAGCAAGGTATAGTTATTTATGAAGATCATTAGTAAGATTTTATTGCTAGATTGACATAGTTCTAAATATTTTTTGGGAAAAAGTCGATAGAAAAAGTGTTACTGAGGCGTTATCAGCCAAAATGTTATAAAATGAATAAATTATAGTACTTACAGGCTAATATTATTTAATGACTAATAGTTAACTAAGTAGTTTGTACCAGCGGTTTTATAGGAATATTTTTTTAAATACGCAACGAATAAACAGCTTACCTAATATATAGCGATGTAGGGAATTTAATTTGTATTGAATTATATTGGAACTTTTTTTTAATTAAACTTTTTATGTTTATTCGATAATCAAACAAAGTTTTTAAAAAAAAATGTAGCTATTTAAAATACAATGAAAAAAAATGATGAAAACTTACCCGTATACACCTGCCGCTTTGCCATTGTATTCAAAAAAATGGATTCATTGAGAATTAATAAGTTACTCGAAATTCGCTGTTAATTGTTTTTTTATATCCTTAAGTAAACATTTCTGAGTGAGTAAGCTATGAATATTTTTTGAACATTTTTATTAAAATGTTAGAATAATTTACACATTTCGTAAGTTCGTTTAATTTTCATTTACATTTTGACATTATGACATTTACTCAATCAAAAGTAAAATTAAAAAGTGCAAGTGACACTGGCAGAAAGTATTGCGTCTGTTAAAGTAATTTCAAGCCATTACGAAAAAAAAGTGCAAAGGAGATCCAAATACTTCTTATTCCAAACTATTATTGGGAGAATTGGTAGCTCCAATCAAAAATATTATTATAACAAAAAAATTCTATGTAATGTTTATTTTTATTAAATTCTATTAAGTCTTGTGATGTAAGCTAATCTACAAAGTAATTTTAAATGAAACACGTTGTAAAACAGTAAAATGTTGTTTTATATTAATTAAGAGTAGTTTTTTAACATAAAATATAGAACGGCATTAAACATTTCCATAAAAAACATTCATTTATCCAACATACGCAAGAGAACAACAGATAAAAAATGTTTATACAAAACGAAGTACATTCAACATATTTACGGACATCCATTTCACCGGCTATTGTGAGGGAAACTGTATTGAAATGATGTGGAAAGCAGAATATATATTTACTTTGGACCGGCGAGCCATTGGAGTAGATTGCACACCTATTATGAAAAATATTACTGAAAATTGCTAAAGAATGGTGTTTTTGAACGCTCTAGAGCTTTGCTATAACCTTTTCACGTGACGTGACGAATCGCTTTAAACTATTTTATCTGAGAGAAAACGTGCTGCTATCAAAGCCCTCGCGTCGGTTCAGCTCTCACTACTTTAATCATTCTCTACCGAATTCTATATGCGGTGGTAAATTAATTCTAAAATTAATTGC